TGTACGTGCCTCTGGGAATGGTTCTGTACCTGCAGCACAGTGCACCAAATCTGCCAACAGTGAATGAATCTGGAGAAAGCAGCAGATGGAGCGTGCRGAGTGTGGAGGTAACGCTTTAATGGAGTCAGATGCACTGACAGGGCAGGAGCCGCTCGGGAGCCTCCCGCCCGGGGCGCCTCAGGGCGCAGTGTCCGTCCCGGGCTCGTTGGAACCATCCTCAGGGGCAGCCTCGGGCTGCTGCTCGAGCTGTTGTCTCCGSCGCAGCCTCTCGGCGCCGGTCACCGTCATGGGGTGGAGCGGCAGGAACCCGGCCAGCCCTGCCCGGTGAGACGCGGTGAGACGCGGGAGCGAACCAGGGCCCTCTCCTCTCCTCTCCCCATCCCCATCCCCATCCCCGGCACCCGCCCAGGCCTACCCAGCAGCTTCTCGGCGGGCGGGGACAGCTGCGCGCCGCAGCCCAGCCAGTAGCGCAGCCGCTCCAGGTTGAGCCCCGCCACCTTCTCGCCGTGCGTGTTGGGCAGCGGGTCCAGGCAGCCGAGCTGCTCCAGGTACTTGCCGTCGCGGGCGCGCTTACTGTGAGCCGCCACGAGTCGGAAGAAGGGCCGGTTGGCGCAGCCCCCGAGGGCGAAGCGGATGACGACGTGGCCGCCGCGGTAACCCCTCAGGAGGCGGCTCCCTGCGGAGAAAGCGCGGGGCGGTCACGGTGCGGCCGGAGCGGATCGGATCGGACCGGACCGGAAAGGATCGGATCGGACCGGATCGGATCGGACCGGACCGGATCGGATCGGACCGGAAAGGATCGGATCGGACCGGACCGGACCGGAAAGGATCGCATCGGATCGGACCGGATCGGATCGGACCGGATCGGACCGGGCGGGGCCGCTCCGCTCCGACCCGCAGCACTCACCGAGCTGCACCATGGCGGCGGCACGGCCCGCGCGCGGCGCACTGAGATGACGCAAGCAGCCGGAAGCACGTGGCGGGGACCCGCGCGGTGGCTGCCGGGAGTTGTAGTCCGGAGGGAGTGATGTAATTTGGGGCACCCCGATATCACCGGGAGCCACGGGCGGTCAGCCGGGACACCCCCAAACGGGACACTACAGCCCCCAAATGCCTGACAATTCATAGGGAGGGGAGGTGTGTGCGTGKGTAAAATACTTCGCAGTTTTTTATTTTTGTCTGTATTGACAAATAATATTATCGCCCATTAATGATTTGAAAACAACCCCCCTCCACCTGCTACATTATATAAGTAGGATTTTAGCATACAAGAAACCCTGAATCTAGATCTRTAGGGCTTGGAAATACAAATATAACTTGAGATGTGGCTCGAAAATGTAAGAAGAGGTGACCTACACGAGGGGAACGGAAATCTCTGCACTCGAGTGTTTCTGTCTCACCGGAACAGACCCAAAMCCGGAGATTTTGGGATTTTCAATCGCTGCCGCCGCCTGGTGACGAGTGTGGGTATTGCAGGTCCCGGAGAACAGCCGCGCATGCGCACTGGCGATTCGCAATTACTGGTGTCACCTGCTGGCGGTGCGCGGTACTGCAGGAAAGGAGTGCGCGCATGCGCAGTGAGCGCGGTGACTCGCTGGTGTCTCCTGGTGGTTGAAAGCGGTGCTGCAGCTGAAAGCAGGGCGGGGTGGGGTTTGGTGGTCGGGATTAGGGGTTGGGTTGGGGTTTGGGTTATGGGGTAAGGATAGATCGGGGTTTTGGTTAGGATCAGGGCTTAGAGTTAAAGGGTAGTGTTAGGTTAATCTTGGGGCTAGGGTTAGGGTTTAGGAGTTTAATTAGGGGTTAGGGTTCAGGGTTAGCG